TTGCTGCGCAAAGCTCTAAGCGTGGAATTGAAAATTTTTTCAAAGGACCTACTTTGGACTTGGCATAAACAAAGGAAACGTGAGGAATTTCATAAGGGCTAGAAAATAAGAAGTATATGACAGCTGCATAGCCCTTTTCCGAATTATCAGCGAATCCATGTAATTCGCATTTTTTTAAATGTGTTGGAACTATGCATCTAGGAATTTTGAGAGTTGATAAAGAAGCTAATTGAGCTTGATATTTTTGCCAACTATTGACAACATCGTTTGAAAAGGTCTCATCCCAACGTAAACCTAAACTGCAAAGGTGTTGCATCAGACGTTTTGCAAAGATTGTTAGGGGAGGATCAAAGAGGATCAAAACCTTTTGCCAGATCAGAAAGTATGAATCTTTTAGTACAGGCCCTATCGATTTGAGAAACAGAATAAGAGAAATAATCATGTGAGGGAAACCATTTTAGACCCAAAATTTTCACTACAGAATTTTCATCATCAAAAGATAAGGATTGTTGAGCATGTTAGGAAATGGGAATGTCAGATAGAAGGCTGGGGTGATTACTACTCCATTTTCTTAATTGGAATTGACCTCGTTCGAGTAGCTTGATAAGGTCTTGTTGAAGAAGTTTAGCGTTTTCTATTGTGTCACAATCAGTGACGATATCATCCATGTAAATATCAGAAGAAAGTACCTTAGCAGCGAGGGGAATGTGTTGAATTTCATCATTACCAAGTTGAATCAAAGTGCGTAGTGCTAAATAGGGAGAAGACGATACACCCTAAGTAACAGTTTTCAAACGAAATTGCTGTAAAGGTTCAGAAGGAGAAAATCTCCAGATAGCCCCTATGATCTGGTCGTATCCAAATTTGTCGATACATTTGTTTTATATCGGCCGTAAATACAATCTTATGTAATCTGAAATTTGGAAGAATAGAAACGATATCTTTTTGTAACTTTGGACCAATTAGTAAACAATCATTCAAAGAGATATTATCTGAAGTTCTACAAGATGCATCGAATACTACTCTTAATTTAGTTGTAGTACTATCCGAAAAACGCAGTGATGAGGAATGTAATATAATTTATAGGGATTTTCCGGGAGATTAAATACCTTTTCCATATGGTTGCTATCCAAATAATGGTAAAGCCACTGTATATCTACCAGATATATCATGAGCATAATTTGAGCTGAAATTCTGTTCATATAATAAATCTTCAGGAGATGCCTTGACCATTTAAGGTATTTCATCAAGTTCCCAAAATTTTTTAAGAATGGTGTCCAATGAAAAATCAGTAGATGCAAAAAACGACCACACTGAATTCACAGTAGAACATTTTACCTTGCCCATAATAATCCAACCAAATGTAGTCTTAAAGGCGAAAGGTTTGTCATGATTACCATTGATGCGACCATCTTCTAATATTTGGGAAAATATGTCAACGCCCAAGAGCATATCGATATTACCGGGGATATTGAAACTCGGATCTGCTAGATCTATGTTATGAAGGTGTTTCCACAGCAATAGGGACGTTTGGCATGTCGAAACAAATTTTTGATATTACTAAAGCATCAGCGTTAAATACTGGAGAAACTTGACCACGAGGTCGAATTTAACATTCAACTGACTTAGACGCTGATGAAGACATTTGTCCTAGACCGAAAATAGCGTGAGATATTGTTTTTGTATTCAACCCAAGACGATTGGCACAAGTTTGTGTAATAAAGTTTGGTTGACTTCCTCCATCAAGCAGAACGCGAACCTTTTGATAAAATCCTCGAGAATCTAATATTTCAACAATAGCTGTTGGAAGTAGATTAGTAGTATTATTGGAACCGACAAGACTAGTAAGCGAATTAACTTGCTCTGAATGAGAAGGACTACTAACAGAAATATGATTTGCTGAATCCACATCAAGTGTATTAGAAGTAATCACTTGAGGCTGTAGGGACGAAGATCGTTCACGTGGAAAATGTAGTAAAGTATGATGTCGAGATTTACAAACACGACAGGAAAATTGTGAACGGCAGTTATTTGCACTGTGCGTTGAATGAAGGCAATTTCTGCACCAATTTTTTTCTTTTGCGACTTGAAATCTCTCTTGTGGAGATTTCGAAATAAATGAGGGACATTTTAGGAGAGAATGGGTAGAGCCACAAAAGGTGCAAATAACATTGGAAGAATTAGCATCTTTATTTGTAATCAAAAACGAAGAGCTAGGTTTATTACGAGAGGTCATGATTTTTCTGAAGAGTGCGTATTAGAATTAGAAATACATTTTTGAGAAGACAAAGCCACTGATTCAAGAGCTGTACACTGTTTGAATAAAAAGTCATATAAAATTCTGTAAGATGGAATATTATTACAATTTTCTTGTAATTTAAAATGTTTAACTGAAGCAGCATCTAATTTTTGTATTAATAACTGAAATAATATAAAGTCCCAACTATCTACAGGCAAATTTAAATTTTTAAGTGATGCTAAGTTTTCTTGAAAAGTGTCTAATAATTTTCTAAGAGCTTGAGGAGATTCAAAGTTTAATTTAGGTGCATTTAATATTTCTTGCCAACATGCATTCGCAAGAATTCTTTTATTCTGGTAACGATCTGTTAACATATTATATGCAATTATATAATTATCATTAGATAACTGTATGGATTTTACCAGACCTAGAGGTTCTCGTTGAGAACCGTTTTAGAGCCGAAAGTAGATAATGAAACTTTTCTATATTAGAAAGAGACTTATTATTATGAATGAGAGAAGAATACAAATCAATGAAATTCGGCCAATCTTTGTAACTCCCGTCGAATGCTGGAAACGTAATTTTTGGCAATTGAATATTTGAAAAAGAACGATTATTCAAATATGCTGCATTTGATTGAGTATTTTCAAATAAATCATGAAATGTTGTCTTAATTGAATAGTACATTTTCATAAAAGTTTTTCTAACTTCTTTATCTGGAGCCAAATCAGCATTTTCAGTAACGGACAGAGCAGTAATTATAGATGCGTGATGGCGTTCAAACTCTTCATAGACCTTTTCTATATCATTATATTGAATTTTAAATGAAGGAAGTGAATTACTGTCATCGATAGCTGTCTGTGCTAAATCGTATAATTCAGTCAACTGATCTATAGAGAGTTCACGTATAGCACGCGTTTGTTTGATTTTATTAGACATATTAAATGTAAAGTACAAATGTAACTAATTTATTATAAATGGAAAAAATTTAATAATTATAAATGAATTGAATACAATTTCAGTTGGAACGAGTTTAAATTGTAATATAAATTGTACACCAGCCACCCGGTATAAATGAAATAGAAGATAACAAATGTATTAAGCTGTGACAAAGGAATGTGGTAGCCCGCAAAAACTTTATGATATACTTTATGAACAAAAATGAACTTAAATGTAAATGAAAAGTTCTCCATCTTGTTAGTATATTTGATTTCGCAAAGTTAATGGAATGTCATCTACTACGCCATCAACAATATTTTATAAAAAATCCGTGTATCTGAATTCAAACGGTCTACAATAATTTGAGGATGCAGAATGACTCCGTTGAAGATTCCTCCCCAGACGTTTATGGAGAATTTTCTAAGAAACGCGGAGGTTTTCAATGGATCAGACATCAAAATTTTTTAAATTATTTATATCATTTCTCGTAAAGATAGTATCATTACTCCACAATATCTTTTGATGGAAATTTTCGTCATTGCAAAGTTTGTACTTTAAGTAGGTGGTATGGATGCAGTTCTTCTCGGTTTAAAATTCTTCAGACGCTGCTTCGTGGAATACCTACTTTCGTTGATATTCTTCGGAGACTGGTGGAGAGATCATCAACGACAGCAGCTATTACATTTTCTTCTAAAATGTTTGCATCCTCCAAATAACCTCTTATTCTGGTGTTTCCAATTTTAACACTCCCAGTCTCACAGACTCCTTGGAAAACTCGTTGGAATACGTGGTGTGAAGATTGCCTTCTGGTTGGGAACCTGCGTAGATGCTTTCGTGAGGCCACAAATGAATTTCCATCATAGAAACCATAGACAAATATTATATCGGTATATTCGTTGTGGCAAAATTTCATAATATTTAATATCTTGATGTTTTGTAAATTTAGTTTCTTGTGACTTCGAGCACTGTAATTAATTTTGACATGCTTGTAAACAACTTTGTTTTTTATAATGACAGGTACTCAGAGTGCATCGTAGAAAAATATTTTATAAGAATTTTAATCTTATTTTGGTCTGGTCTACCCCCTGGTAAATTTGACATTGGGACACCCTGTATATTTAGTATTTTTATTCAGCGCACGGAAAGGATCGGAAATCGGGAACTTTTCCGTGCGCCGTTTCCGTGCGTCAGCCCGAAAAAACCCATTTTACATTATTATTAATACAGATGAAAATAAGGTGTTTTCAAAGAAGTATAATATAATGTATTTTGACGGTACCTAGCTTTTCTAGTTCCTCTTATGGGCTGCCAAAAGATTCCATTTTCTTTTTGCACTCATCAACCGACATCAATCGACCGACCAATTTGCTTAACAATTTCCTCCTAAGCATCTTGGTCTTGCAATCTATTTGAAATAATCTGATTTTTCGCATCCCAAATGAGTTTTATATTTCCTATAGGTTTTTATGGAATTCATCATGTCGTCTTTACGCCACTCTATAATTATACACAAATTATTTCATTTTAAAACTGCCACAACACGCCATTGGTAAATACCAATAAGATCGGCCTTCTGAACAGGAATAAAGGTGCAAATGTGATTCACTACGTGTTATATCATTTTTTTAATATTACAATATTCAACGTTTTCTCGTACCTATTCACTGATATGAAATTATACGATACGTGGATTCAACGGAGAGGGCGCTGAAAAAAACAGCTTTGGTTTGTATTTGAAATTCGACATTTAATCGTTTTTCTTGTTTTTTATAAGTTAGAAGAGGAACATAATTTTATATAAATATTCCTGTTTAATTTTTAGGAATCCATGGGGTCCTATAATGCCGGAGATGTATTTCTATGACGAAGACTTGAAAAGTTCTTATTTTCGTCGGAAAGTAACCATTGATCCCAGCAGATACACGTGGATGCCTTCTGACGACGAATCAATTGGATTAGAAAAGCCGAGATCAATAATGGAACATAGTTTCCATCCTCAACAAATAACACCACCTTCATCGATAATACCAGGGTAAGTTGAACATGGTGAGAATCAATAACTCAGTTAATATGAAAACAAACACTTTAATTCATTTAGTACAGACGGTTCAAATCCTAGAGTCGTATCTGTAAGTCGTATCGTAAATGATTTGATAGCAAAATAAACCATCCGGTGCCTATTGTATTCTGTTACAGAGGTGATCCTATGGTTTGGGTCCCCTAAAATATTTAAAAATGTAAATATTAACAAGTAGATACAGACGGCATACATGTTCAATACGAAATTTAAAATTATTAGTGCTTCTCAAACGTTTCGGCAAATAATATACGAGTATTGTCATAAAATAAAATGATCAATGGCGTAGAAATGGGGTAGCAACATTATTTTTGTAAATAAATTATAAATCATTTTTTTAATACATAGACAAGTCTTGTCGAATAATATAGCCGGTTGCAAATGTTTATGGTTGCACTATACCTGCAAATTTTAAGGTTTAATATAAGATCGTTTCGGAATTGCAAAGAATTTCAGAACTCTGCAGGGCCATACAGCCGTAAACAGGTTCTAATAACCAAAAAGTTTATTGAGAATTTTTTCATAATTTCCCATTTCTATTTATCGCAATATGTTTTGCAACATCTATTACGGGTCTCCCCGTATATTTATCTAAGTAGAGTCTTTCATGATGAACTGTACATGCTATAGTGACAGAATGGGATAACTAACCTAAGCGAGTACGGAATACTCAGTTAAAAATTTCGGATTTGAAACCATTTGTAGGAATCAATTTATTTTGGATATACAACACATAATACTGAAAGTTTACAGACTTTTGAAATCAAAATTACAATAGGTACTATTGAGAATATTGAAAAAAATTTAGTTCATTTATAGTCACTTAAAAAAGTTCATCCTGTATATTTTTTGTATTATCTAACGCTATTGTCTAACGCATGTTGGGCGATGGCTGATTCAGTCTCATGGTCCTTTCTTCTTGTTATAACCGATCTCTTTGTCATGCCTATACATATAAGCCTTCCTACATTCCTTGGTGTAGGTATCGTTCAGTGGGTGCATTCACTATAAACGCTATGTCAATTGTCCCCCCTTTTCCTTCCCCATAATGAACCGAAAGTTTGAATGATGGTCATTCAAGTCGTTTAGGAAACCGTGAAGGCTGTCCTTACCATGCGGTCAAATAATGTATCTTCTACATACCAGCACCAATGTGGTGTTCGAGTTCAGTTGTTTCCAATGTTTCAAAGTGTTCTATGAAAGAATTTGTCATAACCAAACCCAGGGGAGTTTCCATGACAACACCATCGATATGTCATTTCCATAAAAAGTAACAAGAAGCTACACAAAGCTCAAATAAGGAACTCCTTCGGTGAGTACAAAGGTTTTAATAGTTCCAATGTGTCTTTAATTGGTGCCTTGGTGAACAACTCCATATCAAAACTAACCAAGATGTCTGAGTCACTTATAGTGAGAGTCTATAGAATATCACGAAAGTGCTTTCGCTAACTATCGGACGATGGGGGCATTCGATTTAAGGATCCTAGGCAGCTCATATAGACGTGGGAGCGGCTATCGGAAGGTTGCAGGCTCTTAGTAACCTGCTAGTCCCAGGAACTTTTCTTCAATAACCTAATAAATGTTTGTCAACTCTTGATGTTTGATTTCGCGCTAACAAACTTATAGACATCTGGAGTCAAGAAGTTGAATTTCTCTCTATAGTCTTTGGTGTTCAGAACAAAAGTCGCATTTTATTTCCAGAGAGCCCTACGTTCTTCTCTTGAGATATTGGGTTTTGTTGGTTTCACCTTCTTTATTCTACAAATTTCCTGTCGAGTCTCATCTGCATGAACCTGACTGACTTCATTCAAAATTGTATTTTTTGTTACGTTTCTTAAGTAGGTAGTCTCTCTTATTTAGGTATTTTTCCACACTTCAAATTAAATATAAAAAAATTTAAATCCCTGTCACGATAAAAAAAAATTAAGAATACCCTGGGTTTTAACAAAATTTCGCCTCAATGAGAAATGTGTTCTATTTATTTTAAGTAAATTTATTAGTTTAAATACAGGGTGTCCGCAAATTTCACCGACAATGTTTGACTGCATATTCACAACGATAAATAAATACGATCTACGAAAAAAAGTTGAATAAAAAATTTTTGGTTTTCTCGTTCCAAGCATTCAAAGTTGTCAAAAATGAAACTAATTTAATTAATAACTTCATAATCCTTTTACCGATCGCGTTAAAATTTGGCACATTTATTTGGACTATTATGGCGTATTATTTCTTAAAAAAATTAGTCAAATCGATATACTGGGTGATAGTTTTCTCCGGTTACCTCTTCCTTTTAGCGGTCAAAACTTTTACAGTAGTAGTCGTATTTTTTTAAAACGGGCAGCAACATTGGAAAGGTCGTTTTATTTCAATTTTTATTTATTGTCTCTTGAGAAAATCGCCTACAGAAATTAAGAAAAATGGCGTTATTTGCAAGTGTGTATGTTTCAGTTTGCGTAGCAGGTCACGGATTTAAAACTTTGAGTCCAGTAGGCGATGAAAACAAGATGTTGATTGCTGTGGCTATCGGGTAATGTCATTATTGTCGTCTCTTTAGGGTTCTCATCGCTCTACACATGAAAATTATGAAAATTTACAAATCCGTTCGTTGTAAAACAAGATTCATCGGTACAAAACAATTTTTGAAGCAAAATATTATCTTCTGTGAAGCCATTTACCAACCAAGGGCAAAATTGTAAATGTGCGTTGGGATCTAAAGTTTTTGAGCAGGAGTTAAATGAAATGGTCGAAGAAGTTGCTTTTTTATAATTTTGTGAACATTAGTTTTAGACACATTGTCTTGATACACTGCGGACACTTCATAATTTGCATGTGTGGAGTGATGAGAATGCTAAAGCAACACGACAATAATGACATTACTTGATAGCCACAGCAATCAACATCTTGTTTTCATCGGCTACTGAACTCAAAGTTTTAAATCCGTGACACTGCTACGCAAACCGAAACGTACAGACCTGCCAATAATGACATTTTTCTCAAGAATGGCTTTCTGTAGGAGATTTTCTCAAGAGACAATTTTATTGTAAATGAAACGGCCTTTTCAACGTTGCTGCCCATTTAAAAAAAATACGACCATTGTAAAAGTTTTGACCGCTAAAAAGGAGAGGCAACCGGAGAAAACTATCACCCAGTATATCGATTTGACTAAAGCTTTAAGAAATAATACGCCATAGTAGTTCAAATAAATGTCCCAAATTTTAACGCGATCGGTAAAAAGGTTATGAAGTTATTAATTAAATTAGATTTATTTTTGACTTAAAACTTTTGGCAACAAAAAGTTTTTATTTAACTTTTTTTTCGTAGATCGTATTTATTTATTTTCGGTGAAATTTGCGGACACCCTGTATATTACTTTTCTGCGTAAAATCTAATTGTACGTGTATTTATTTTGTTTTCTAGCAAAAAACATGTAAGTTTCGCCAGGTCTCATACACTTGCTAGTTTCGACGATGCTATATCATCATTAAGTTCCTCAACAAGCCAGCTTAATAGAGTTACAAGAAGTCAAGAACGTCTTCTAGACGTAAGAAAGACTGAACTCCAACCTATTACAAAACAACCTGAATCAGAAAACATTGTGATTATGGGTAATTTTTTTTATTTTTTTTCTTAAATGCATTATCTTACGCACAATTGCTTACTTCGTTCATTTTAAATAATCTATAGATACTAAAATACTTAACCTCTTAAGCATATTTTCTCTATTGTTTGTACTTCTATTTCAGTAAAAATATTTCATTTCTCGAATAGGGAACTGATGGATGTTATTTTATTATTTTATTATTTTAGATAAAATCAAAAGAGCTCCAATGAAGACACAAGCGACACAAACTGAAATAGGTCTAGGACGAAAACCTCTTCCACCAAGTCATATCAATTTAAGTCCAAGAACTATACATAGGGTAAGCAAAGTAGATTTTATAAAGCAGAATAAAATATATGTCGACATTAATACATTCGTTACATTTTGCATATGCAATGCGATATTCGAGTTTCAAAATATTAGGCAGTAAGCCTCATAAACAAACTAAACCACAATTTTCACATGTTCTTAATCTGGTATAGTAATTTTATGTATTATCTGCATGGAAATTGTAATAGGTTTAGCCTACGCGCGCGCACTTGAAATGTACTCTTGTTACAAGCACCCATTCCTATATTTACTTATCGTATACAAAAAGAGAGATGACCAGTGCTGTAATTTGTTAATAATCAGGCTATTTGTAAACGATCAAATTTAACAGATTAAGAACGTTATATGATAAATAATTGTGGGGACTACGCCTTTGAGGAGAAAGGGGTCTGTCCTGTCCGGGTTGCTCGGTAGAGTAGTCCAGGTTCAATGGATTACAAATATGTAAAACTAGCTATATTTTGTTCAACTCGGCATTTATCCGGTTAAACATAATATCAAACTAATTAATTATTACTAAATAACGGCAGGACCGTTATCAAAGCCCAATGCACACAGATCGCGGAAATTGGAGCTCCTCTCCACTGAAATCGGGTATAAATACCAGTGGCGGAGATACCTGAAGTCGCTCTCATTGAAAACCCCAGAAGTTCTGAATATTTTGAAAATTTTATTCGAAAAACGAATACTCATCTTTTCTCTTGGAAACATCACTAGGAGTTACAAATAGTTTTATCATTCTACATTAAACGTCTTCATAGATATTTTAGAGAAGGTGAATTTCTTTTTCAAATATCTCGAAAACTATCTGTTTGCGTACCTATATTATATACTATTTTTGGACTAAAATCATTCGAAAAATCAAAAGCTTGCCGACATATTTAATTAACACCCTGTATATCTCTGAAATTTTCTTGCCCACAAGTAGATACCTCAGTCTGAAATGCTGTGGTGTACTCCCCCAAAGGATAAAATAAATTCATTTCTGGTTACACACCACAGATATTTTCCTTGGGTCCTAGTCCATCTTGAATTCGTAAGCCAGGCGAGTCCTTTGAATACCTGGAATTCCTTTGAAAAATAGTAGGCGGGGAATATTTTTTCACTAACAGTCCTGAAACGTATCATTGCCTACTAGTTGTTTGAGATTATAAGTCTGCTTATAATCATATCTTTTGTTTCAACCCTATGAGGTCCTTGCCTTTCAACCACGAAGTGTGGTTCTGAAAGTGACAGAACAGACTTTAAAGCTTTGTGTGAACTGAAATAATAACAGTATCTCTAACACACATCGCTCTTATGAAAATCTTACATCACTTGATTCGAGAGAGACCACTTTTCTCTATGGTAAAATATTTACTAAATTGTTATTTAATACTACTTTGTAATAAATTCGATATATGTAAAGGAAATTACTTATTCCAACTAGTCCTGTTTCAGACGGACGGTGATTACCAGCGTTTGGGATTTTTTCACATAAGCTACTGATGAGTAATAGCTAAAATGTCCTGCGACGAAAAAGTATTGATAGCTGTTGCCATATCTGCAGTTTATACACGAACTTGTCTGGCATTGTAAGTGGCAAGAGTCCTCGAAAAATTTTAAACGCCGGTGCCGGTGAATGACGCCACGTAGGTCGTAGCGACTTTTCAAATGCTTCAACAAATGAACCCTCAAATCAATTATATAGCTCTTGGATAGGAGATAATAAACTAAAATAGAAAAATTCGCTGCTCACCGTAGCTGACTGCGCTCTGTGTATCGAAATCTTAACGCCCCTTTTCAGAAGCAAACAGATTTTACAGTTTTTTTTTTAATATTCAGGTTTGTCGACTAAACTGTTGGTAAGTTCTTTTATATTTTATAGGTAAAAATGGTGTCTCAAGGGGCACAAACAAATGGCTTTATTTTAAATGGCAGAAAATTAGTGAAATCCTTTTCTGAGGCAGGAAATAAATTTGGACTACCAACTAGAAATGGAGATTTCCACCAGTTTGAAACAATTTTAGACCATGAACCGCTACAAAGAACTCAATCAGACGAACCACCAAGATCCCCCTTTATATTAAGTACTCCTGCTGAATTTGCGCTTCCTGAACTTCCCCATCAACAACTACCTCAGAGCGATACTTCTTCATTATCAAAATCCGACCACGAGTCGGATTCGGCAGAATCAAAAAAGGAAATTTTCATAGACTTTAAACCTCAAGTACCACAAACGTCACGAAAGGTGAGCAAGAGATGTCTGACCAAAACGATGTCAGACGGTGAAATTTTGATGGAACAAAGAAAAACACAGAAAATTGACGATAGTGTCGTACCAGAAAAAGCAATAGTATCAATGAGCCACGAGAATATTGCTTCAGAAGAGGATCAAAGAAGTTTTACCCCATATTTTCAAAAGTTACCCATTCGAAACGAAGGTATATTTAAACCTCTAGAAGAAAATGTATATTCATCATTCGATGGTGGTCCATATGGACAAGATTCTGTTGATGAAGAATTCCATGAAAATATAATTTACAATAGAATCTATTTAAATAGGACTGATTCTCAAGAAAACGGACCTCTTGGTTTAGAAAGTTTTTCACCACATGAAATGCCTGTTGTACCTTCTGTATGTTTACAGTCTGATGAGAGATTGTCTCCATTTGCCTCAAATGATTCCTTAACTACTGACACTAGGTATGTTATTACACATATTTTTGCTAATTAAGAAGCAGTAAATTCTAGAAGAAAATATTTATTGCAGGATTTAAACATTAATTTTCTAAATCAAATAGTGTTATAGTTTTATAGGTAAACTTATGAACTTTTTAGGGAACAGAATAAAATTTAACTTGCAAGTCATGCAAGAATAGGAAATTTAAAAAGTATATTTATTACTAACATTTATTCCATTTTCTCATTAATCAGGGTCGTAATTTCAGAGGGCGAAGGGTTACATTTCGTGTCAAAAAGTATCCCTTATAGTTCAGTCAATGACCATTTTTCCATATAATTTTGCCAAACAGCACCGATTTTCATAAAAATGTAGATTTAGGTTCTACTTACCCTCTACTTCAAATATGACCTTGCACCGGGGGTTGCTTTTACCTTGGGGGTACCCCAAGGTAAAAGCCCCATTCTCGGGGTGTCATTGAAAATAACTCCGGGAATGAATGAATATATTGACTAAGCAACTTTTGTCCTATAAAATTTTTTCTGAAAGTCAATACTTTTCGACTTATTCGCTAGTGAAAGTGTAAATTTTTTAACCAATAAAAACACTTTTTCTGGCGGTTTTTCGCGAATAACTCAAAAAGTAAGTATTTTATTAAGAAAATCACTCATAAAAAAATGTAGCTTATAAGGAAACAAAAAGAATGGTGTATTGATAGCCTAAAACTAATGTATTTTTTCAGGGAACTCATACAACCTTTTTTAATGTGCTTGAAAAAACCTTTATTTTTATTTTATAAAAGTCCCTAGCATCAAACCTAAGCGAGTTACGACGAAAATAAAGTTGGTCCGTATTTTTTGCGGCTACAAAAAACGTGAAAATCACCCCCTAATTACCACCCCAATTGAAAATAATCGTTACCACTTTACAATTTATTTTATTTATGTACTTGTAATATGCTCTAGAAGTTTGACAGGTTTAAAGTGCTTAGTTTTCAAAAAAGTTGAGCTTGAAGTGAAAAGAGCATTTTTGTATTATTGGAAAAAATTGTCTTTTCTTCAAAATAACTCAAAAACTATCTATTAATGATACGCAAAATTTTGTAGAGTACAAAATTGTAGGTTTTGCTTTTTTGAAAATTTTGATTATTTTTTTTTTGTAGGATAAAGATAAGTAAGATATGGCCGTTTAAAGTTTGCATATGTTCGTAAATAGCAACTTGTTCAAGCCCTTTCAGCTCAAACCCTTACAAAAATAAGGGCTGAAATAGAATTTAACTTCTTTGATCTTATAGCATTTGAAAAAACCTACAAAATGGTTTTTGAAGTGCTTGATAGCATAAAAACTAAGCGAGTTATGGGTAAAAAACCAATCACGTATTTTTGCAGATATCAGAACACGTATATTGAAGCATTGATGAATACACATTATAGCTATATTTTAGGCACAGACGTATTTACATCTATTCACACGTATATTTTGAACTAAAAAAATTTTTTTAACTGTAATTGTTCGATTTTTTTTTTGCAAGGAGTGGTTTTTATAAGGGTTGAAACATAAATAAATAATAAAGCCTTCACTTGTTCAATAATGATAATGGATGTCAGTACAGATTTGGGAAACTATTATTCGATTAATGTTAGTATGTTAATTTTTTTGTTTCTTCCTAATTTAATTAAAGAATTTAGATATGTTTTTGTTCTACTTTCAATATATGATAATGATTTAGACAACCTTCAATTTAAGAAAAAAATTTTGCTTCTTTAACCAAAATTCCTCTGGAAAATAATTTCGAGTTTATTAGCTAACGATTAAAAAACTGGTATTTACCTATACTTACAATTTTAGTAGGTATAACTTTTCTTCCTGTTTTAGGAGAGACCGAATATGAATAAAAGTTTATTTTTTACTAAGGATCGTTTAAAATACCTTAAGAGTGGATTTTTTTGTTTATAGAAATTTTAATAAAACAGACGGGTTTTTAAAATACCAATTTATTTATTGTAAAAAAAGAAAAAAATATTAGTATTAAGCGCTTGCGGACTGCTGAGTGTTTGGGTTAACTAATCTTTATTATTATAACTAAATTATATTATTTAGTTTAACTTATCGGATATTTCCGATTAAATAGTTTTGAAAGGTGTCTGCAGCTCTGTATAAATTAAAGGGATAAACATTTGTAATAATAACTTCAATTTTTATAACTACAATTTTAGGGATCAGTCAGATGGAATTTGGAATGAATCTCAAGTGACTGTGCTGCAAGTGGACTCTGGAACAGATAACGGTACTGCCTTGAGTAGCTCAGAAATGACTTCGGTAACATCACCCGGATCTGCTAATCTTCTGACTCCTTCATCTCGCCGAAAACATCTCCTAATGTTGCAACACCAACAGAGATCTTCTATGGATACTGAAGCTTTAGACGAAGAAATCGTAGATGAAAGCGACACTTATCCTAAAATAATTGTGGAAAAACCTATAAAGAAACAATTGGAACCTCCTCTTCCATCCGCGAGGCAATATCTATCTACACAAAATGCAATACCGCCTATGTGGAGGAAAACAATGCAAGAGTCTCCTATAGAATCTCCTCTACCTGCTGTCGTTCCGGATCTGTTATTGGCAAGAACAGATTCTTGTAAAACAAATACCGATGTTTCTGAAAGTACTACAACTGATGATTACATTACTGCCAATTCGGGAACAGACAGTTCAAGAAAGAGTGGTTCAGTTAAGGTAAGTCTATCTGTCTACCCAATCTTAATTATTTGTGTGTATTCAATTCTCATCCTTGGGTATCATTTGTGATGACACTTCAATGAAGACCTTCCGAAGCTTCTCTAATAAACCACGTCACATCATAACCCACTAGGATATCATATGGATCTAGTTGTGTTCCCTTGTTATGTCAATAAATTCTTCAACGTTTTTGGCTTGAGGTTCCGTCTTTCCCACTAGATTTCTAATTTAATGTGACATGTACCGGACGAATGGGTGAGTGACTGATCCAGCTTTCACTTGTGATCTAGGTACCTATTTATTTACCATTTTACAATATATCAACAAATTAATCAATGTATTGGTATAGGCATCTTTAATGGAATAACTTAAACAATAAATTAATGTTTATGTAATTTACTTTTAAAAGAAAAATTATAGAAATGATTTCAAAAATTCCTCCTTCCTGACCTCGTTTCCTCAGAGTGCGTATCTACGGAATTATATGATCATATGATAGAAATTATTCTTCATTTCATTGTAAGTATTCGTTTCAGGGCATGGAAATCTACACAAAGCTACAAACTCATATTAATGAGGGTTCAAGTTTTGAGAGTACCAAAGGTGTTGATCAACTTGGTGACGACATGGTAGTGCCGACCTTTTCTCCACCAGCCTCCGTCTCGGATGAAATTCGACCTTCTCCCACTTCCCGCAGCCTGTGCAACACCCCAGTGCCTCTTATTCGCACCGGCCGATCGACTCCGTCCGATGACACCAGCTCCTCGTGTGGAAGTTACAGCGTGGGATCCACCCCTGACCTCCTAGAAAGGTCAACAGTGCCTTTAGAATGTTCCGAGAAACGTAGCTCTGCAACGGAAGAGGACCGAAACATTTATTATTCAGCATCGGCGTACTACGAGTCGACAATGGAAGAGAAGTTAGTATTTTTTGTTAGGAACTATAACACTGGGGAACACACTTTTTGTTGACTTAGATCTAACACGTATTTTTGGCTAACTTTTGACATCTGAATCCAGAAATGACCCCAGTTTTTTTCACTATCACGTCAATGTTTACTTCATAGAGTACCTACTCTGCTTCTTCTTAAAAATCATACAAAGTATACTTTTATACAACATAAGCAATATTGCATATATTTTTTTTCTAAATAGGAGACTGTAGGGCCTTCAAAGAGATTTTATAGTAACTTACTTGCGTAAAGTCAAAACTTAAAAAATACTCCAACTAGTACTCCATTAAAATATGCGATTTAGTTTCTAAGGAAACTCCAAGTGAAATTTTAAGTAGCATACCCTGTAGATCATTTTAATCCATTATTAAATAGTTTTGAGAGATTTCAACTTAATATTAAAGCAATATTATATTTTATAGCATAACTTGGAAATCCTCCAAACATGAAACCAAGCTCCAAAAGAGACGTAAAGAATTTTCATTAGACTTATCAACGAATCAACCAGTGCACTTTGAAAATTATTCTGTTTCGAGTAACGGCAAGTACAAATCATTTAAGAGAGAATCAAAAGTGTCACCTCAAGGCGAAATGAACAAATTATTAGTAGAAAAACCCAAAAGATCTAAAATGCGTATGAGAAGTCCCATGCAAATTCAGAAAAAAATTATTCAAACCAAAAAATTACTATACAGAGAAGGATCACCGTTTCAGGAAGAAAGGGAAAATAAGGGTACTTCCGATGAATCCAGTTGTGATATGGCCATAAAACAGATTAATAATCAAACCTCTCCTAGGAAAGCAAAGAAAAACAAAGAAAACATACGAAGAAAATCCTTACCCAGATCACCTGTTAATCAAAGACCGACCAAAAGAAATGAGTCAGAAGAAAAACCCTCTAGTTTACCGGGAAGTTTATCTCGAAGAAAATCTTCGAAACAAAGTAACAAAATCACATTATTCGAGAATACGGAGAATAAACAACATTACAGGTAAATATGTTAATCAAATAATTTTCTAATACTCCATACGAATTAGATCATAAAACCTGAAAACTTGAAAAAATTATTATTAGTATTACAAAAATTAGTATTATTAAAAATTATTATAGTTTGCTTTCTTGCAACTGATTGTTTAATTACTAAGCGTTAATTTTACAAGTTAATATCGTACATATAGGTTCTAATTGATTCAAAGAAACATATTGAAAAAGAAAAATTTTAAAAAATTTGAAATTAAGTTGCCCTTTACAACTAACAAAGTGCCTCTTTGTTCCCAAGATAACCTTTTTTATAATGTTAATTGTTAATTAACTATTGAACGTATCGGACCGGAATTTTAGAGATATCATTTTGGATTAAGGTGATACAAGGTTTGATGGATTCGTTTTTATAATGGTAGAGGTGATTCTTTTTGATACACATTCCTCACGATTGCTGATACAGGATTTGATTCACAATACCCTCTCTAAATTTTAATGTATCTTACGATTTCAACAGTTGGTTTTTTATACAGTGTGGATACAAATTGTGGAATATTGCTTATATTTCTTAAAATATTCGTCATATCAAAAACATGTTTTAATAAAAGTGTTAGGAGAATTTATTTCCCGTTTAGTGATATCAAGCAATCTTTCGTATCACAAAATGATAGAATTTTACAATAACTTTAGTTATTATTTACAATATTAACATTAATCGTACAACCAGTACACGAACCAATATTTATTCCTAAACCAGATAATTGCTTTATTTGTTTCACACCACTCCTTAAATTGCCGATATGCATTTTCATATTGGCGCTTCGATTTTTCCGGTAAAAGTTACCAAATTGGCCGCATCTGCCAAATTAGGTGGGGTACTACTTAGTTCATCGTCACTAGCAATTTCCATTATTTTAAATAATATCTGGCACTTAAAAATTGAAGACGCGAGCACAAACGTCACTTTAAAATAATTATTATTGTTGTCAACAACAGCCACTTTGTTTCCATAGTAACAGTAAAAATTTGATTAGGAAAGACATTTTAAGCCAGCTCAACACTATTTTCTATAATAAATTAGGCATTTTACTTATTTATAATATTTTTAAGAGATAGATTCTGACGTTTGTAGAAAAAATATTGTTTGCATCTCGTGCGCGAACTACTTTAGTGGTCTCGAATAATTTTTTAACTCGGCTTCGCCTCGTTAAAAAATTCAATTCTCGATCACCAAAAATAACTATAAACATACAAAAATAACTATAAACGGCACCATATACTTTTTTTGGTGAAAATTAATACATTGGACCTTCCTAAATACGATACAAACAATTTTAATGGGGTCACGTAAGAAAAAAATACAGTAAATTCAATTTTTATAATTTTATTTTATGTCCTAAAGTAAGGAGTCAAAAAATCAAAAGATCAACGTTTTAAGCTAATTTTTATAGGATAAATGAAAAAATGGAACGGATGTGAACTAATTCATTCAAATGACGGCCATTATTGTTCAGGGACATTCTTAGTCTCTTTAAAAACGAATCACTCAAGTTTGCCAACGTGTGGTGTCGAATTAGCTCGATTCTGATCCTCGCTTTAAGATTTTCCAGATCCACCTCCGCGACCTATCCACCTTGCAGGAAATATTTCATTTAGATATTCTCTTATGGCACTTCCATAATGTGGAGAGGGCTCCATCTTGCTGAAACCACATTTGATGAATTGGACCTAGGGCCTCCAAAGCAGGTACAATTTGTTCTCTTAATAAATTAAGATATTTGTCGGCAGTTAGGTTCCCAACAATAAAAAATGGTCCAATAATATTATTTCCTAGTATACCTGTCTAGACATTAATTTTTTCTAGTCGCTGGGTTCGAGTTTCTCGTTTCCAGTGCGGATTTTCTTGACACCAATATCGATAATTTTGTTTATTATAAAATCCATGAAGCATAAAAGTGGCTTCATCGGTGAACACAATCTTTTTGCCAAATTCCAAATCCATGTAAAATTTATCTAACATAGTGTTACAAAATTCAACACGTTTTGTAAAATCATTTTGCACAAGTTTTTGAACGAGCTGCATCTTGTATGGATGAAACTTTTCCTTGTGGAGCTGTTTGGAAAAAGTTCGTTAAACAACTCGCATACTTTCTGCTGTGTCCTTTACCTGTCACCATATCCCACCACCATTAAAACCTGTATTCTTTCCGTTTCATTTAATTCAAGCGCCATTATAACTTACTAAGTACTTAAGTACACAGAAAATTGAGTAACTGACATCTAGTGACAGTTTCGCATTGTTCTGATTTGCATGGCTAACTTGATGTTAATAATTATTTTGATAAACAGTGTCAAAAGCATAGTAGAAAACTTAAATTTTTTATATTTTTTTCTTATGTGACCCCATTAAAATTGTATTGGATCGTATTTAGAAAGGTCCAATCTATTAATTTTCACCAAAAAAAAGTATATGGTGCCGTTTAAAAAAATTAAGTCGGTTACCAACCACATTTTTTGTGATAAGAAAGATTGCTTGATATCACCAAACGGGAAATAATTTCCCCTAACACTTTTATTAAAACATGTTTTTGATATGACGAATATTTTAAGAATTTACTCTCGGCTAAGTTTTTGGGGGAATTTTGGTTTAAATTTGTAGCTATTAAATATTTTTTTCGGTTTAGACTAACTTATCACTATCCAAATACTAACGTCTAAGGAGATACAACCATTAGAATATGGTTCCGCCAAACAAAATCTCTGAAAACAAAAATATTGGCGCAAAACAAAATCCAATTATAGTTGTTATTAGTCACTTCTATGGTTTAGGCAAGCAATCTATGGTCATCTTCACATATCAAATGTCATTGAAATGTTTTAAAAAGTAATCTATAGAGTTACTCATCTTATTCCAAAGGTATTCCAAAATGAATGGCACATAGGACAACTGTGAATTTGGGATATCAAGATATCACAATTTAACCAAATTACGTTATTCTAAAACTCGATAGAGATATGGTGTTGTAGTTATAATTTTTTCATTTAATTTTTTTTTACTAACTAAGAAATAACAGACGAATCTAAAAGTTGACAGGCAAAAGATTTTTTTGAGATGATAAACAATGTACAATATTTTATTGTAGCTACTGGGAGTGCCACGTGTGCTCCATCTAATATTTTAATCAAATTCTCACTATTTTAGGTTTAAATATTTAACAATTTCAACTGACGTTTTATACTTCCTTTATCATTTTCAAACAACAAGGCTTACTTTAATGATATTAATGTCAATTTTGAGATACTTATTTTAATATTGAGGTTACACTAACAAAGTATTGACTTTCAAAAGCTATCTAAACTGAAATATTTAAACTAAGTAAAAGTAATAACATATTTTTTACAGAAATATGCGTAAAATTTGTCTGTTTATGCACAAATAAATTTGAATTAGTAATCAATGAATCCAAGTAGAAGATAGTGGCTTGCCCAATTAGCAAGATAGTTTGGGCTATCGTGGAACTAAAAGATTTGATTGTCCAGCTAGCCGCGAATCTTTGTCATAGTCGGTTTTTTTCCGGCTTCTTAATCCCGATTGGAAAGTATAGTGAATTTTCGTCAGTAACTTTACCAAAAATTGTTTAGAACTCGATCAGTTAGGTGAAACTGCAGAGCGATAGGCAAAATAATATTCGTGTCAGGTTATCATAAATCTAATGAAGAGGACTAGGTAGTGGTTAGTTATATTAAAATAAATCTCCCAGATAGAGTAAATATTTTAGCAGGCAGGTTGAAAATTTTGTCAGGACTGGTTACCACATCAAACCACTTCTTGATGCTTTGAAGAAGAAACTTCTTTGGCCAGTGTCGTTCCAGTCTTCGATATTTGCAGGGAATTATAGCGGTTTTTCTAGATGTATATTGTCTCCCTGTAGAATTTTGGCCGAAATTTCTGTCACAAAATTTATGGTATAAGGTACATCTATCACGTATTCTGATCTGCTTTGTGCTTCTCAGCTGTGGATTTTTATAGGTTTTTATTCTTTAAGTGACACTTGTGCTCCATTATCCTCGTACCGACATGTCCTCTCGGTCCAATGTATACTTTTCCCCCATGTACAACGGATACTAATATTATTTACATCTGGTCTTGGAGTAGACCCTTAATGTGTTGAAGATTGTAAGTAAGTAAATAAGAAAGTAAATCTCTTCTCTTAAAGAAAAAATTAAATTGTACAAGAGCTGAATAAGCCGTACCTTAACGAAATATTAATATCATCTACAACAAGTCAAGGGAAATGTGGTGTAGATCTACTACATCCCATGTAGGTACATGCAGAAAAGTATACATTGAAAAAGATACAGGAGACGCGATAGACCTAATTAATATCAGAATTCTGATGAAAGACAAAGGGTTCGGAAGAATTAAAATTAATGAAGAGGAAGGGTTAGAATCACTTAGATTTTGGAATCGACCCATCACAAAAATTAATTACCGGAACGCCATGGTACACAGAAAATATAAATACCAACCAGATTACTTAATTTTCAGTTTCAGGGTTCCTTCTGAAGAAGCGAGCGATATGTCTTTCGAAACGCTAAGAAATCGACGTGATAACCATCCCGGAAATTTTTCAATCATTAAAAAGATCTTTTTTAGAAAGAATTAACAATATTTTTTTAGTATGTCAATACGAACGTGTAAAAAATATTTCCACGTTAATAAGTTCTCACATTTTTCACAAAGTCAAAGCAATATTGTCAAATTTGCCAAGACAATTGCGAGTGAGGAATGTAATGTAAAAATAATAATAAATATTCTCGAAAAATAATTCTAAAAATTCTAAAACCCCCTGAATAATAACTCCCATGTTAAGAATAAGCATATAAAAATAAGGAATAAACAGCTCTAAAAAATGAAATTAAACCTAAAAAAAAATATTAAATATTTTCTAAATCCTACTAAACTATTAATCAAAATAATCTCTAATAAGTTTAATGAGGGTGGAGCAGCTATATTTGAAGCTCTAATTAAAAATCACCATAAAGATAAACTTGGTAAAATATTCATCATACCCTTATTTAAATATAATTTACGACTTAAAATACATTCATAAGCAATATTTGCTAAACAAAATAAACCTGATGAACATAATCCATGTGCTAATATTATCACTAATGTAAAATTAGTGACACCAAGGAATAGGTTTTGATAATTGACAACAAAGACAAGCCTACCTTTTATTTAATTTTCTTCTATCAAAAAACGATAAATACTTTAATATTGCTTTAATTTAAATTGAAAAAATATAAAGTGTAAAATCTATTTGTATTATTTAATATTCCTCTAATAACATGTAATTAATTTTTTAGGTACTAATTAACCGTTGAGACTAGTAGAAAAAGTTCATTATATTAAAATTAATGATTCTATGAAATTTAATCAATAACTTTTTTATTTGAAAATGATGAAAAAATATTAGTTGAAATTGCTAAATACTTCAAATAATGGAGATACTACTGTTTATCGCCCAAAAAACTCTGTTAACTTTTAAACTTAGTATCTTAAAAACGGCATTAATTACGAAAAAATCAAAACGAAAATCATGGCTGTACCTCTTAATATCAACTTCTGATCTGATCTAAAGTAAATTTGGCTAGATTGCACTATTTTAGTTCAATGGGCCTAGCATATGAAAAATATTATTTGTTTCCAGTCCTATAGGGTCACCACCAGAATCAAAAATGCAGAGTTTGAAAAAAAGTCCCGACACGACCAAACTGAAAGCACTCAGTGCCGAATCACTAAGATCCGTGAGCCCTGGCAGTGATAGCGTCTTCTACAGCGACCCCAGCAGTCACACAGCAGACCATCAAGTTCATTGCCTCCATTGTGGTAAGGAAGTCGATATTGTTACCACTGACGATCCCGATAAAAGTATAAGTAGCAACGAAAATCATCAGGATATAGTTCAGCCCCCGGCAGGATTCGAAGACTCACCAAGGTCAAAGTCAGGAGGAAGACTTTACAAGAAACTTGATAGGAGGATACGATCTGAAGAACGCACTCAAATGGAACAAAGAAAGCATCGGTACAAACCTGATATTAGGGCGAAGGTAAGTGGTAATGCGAATGTTTTCTTGTTTTTCATCGATAGTGAAAAAATGCTGTTTTCTTTTATTCATGATTTCAGAATCATAACGCGTTACGATCCGAAATCTAGCAACCTGATTGGTTTCCATCGGATCGTAACGCGTTATGATTCCGAAATCATGAATAAAAGAAAAGGGCTTTATTTAACAAAATAAATGACAGATCACTAAATGTTTTAAATATTTGTTGTTGGTAACTAAGTCTGTAATATTTTTAATAAATCCAAATACAGGGTGTCCCATAAGCACATGACCAAAAAGATGCTGCGACATTATTTGGCTCAAAAGAAGACGACTTGACCTAACTTCCATTAAGAAAAAATGTCTGGCTCCTCTGCTATTGATTGTCAAAGTTCTTGAAAAAAATATGTTTTTTGTAATATCTGGAGAATGTTACGATGGATTTTAATGAAACTTGCTCTGGACATGTTTCTAAGTAACACTCATCTTTTAATGAAGCGTCCATCTGCCTTGGGCTAGTGGTACATTCTTGAGTGTCTTGGTACAAGAATTACCAGAACTTGGTAAAATCTTGTACTAGTTTTTACGCAAAAAATTGTTTTCAATTTTAGACAATCATTATGCCTACTAAAGTACAACAAATACTCACTACAATCACTACCATCGTAGGAAGTATCTTGCTAAAATCTTGTAACATTCATAGTTTTTACGCAAAAATATGTTTTCTTTTTCGTTGCAATTTAACAATTTTAAACGTATCGCAGTAAATTTGCCCATTTACAAGAACCAGCTTTCTCTAATAATAATTGCCAATTCTTTTACCTAGGATATCAATATTGAAAGTAAAATGGTCGCAATTTTAAAGTTTATCGCAATGCGACGGATTGAATATCATTTTAGTTCATTAGATTTATTTTTTGTTAACACTCAAAAAATGTAAAGACGTACTTAGGAAAGACATAATTCTCTTTATTGAAACTGGATGATAATTACATAAATACGATAGGTGATGGTGGAATTACAAGACATGTTCGGTATGCCCCCCATTTGCATTGCTGGGTCCTTCGATTGAAATTGAATTGAGCCCTCCTCAACATTTTTGGATCATTCCGTTTACGTCCGCCTCGTTTTGAATCCTACGCAATAAATCTTCCTGGGATTCCACAGGAGTAGCATAAACTTTATTCTTCAAGTCTCCTCATAGAAAAAATCTAACAGCGTTAAGTCGGGGGACCTGGGGAGCCATTCGACAGGAACATCTCTCCCTCTTCTTCCGATCCACTTGTGTGGAAAAGTATTATTTAAATGTGCAGTTACATATGCACTAAAATGCGGAGGAGCACCATCGTGCATAAAATTCATCTGAGCACGAAGATCGATAGGGACATCTTCCATTAGACCCGGAAAAGTATTCGTCAGAAAATTTAAATAATTTTCGCTATCAAGCGGCGCGGCATGACATAAGGATCCAGAAGGAAACAATCAAATACAATAAAAAATGCTGAAGATAAAAGTAACAAAGTTATTAAATTTAGTACAACGAGGGAATCTTTGGTTCAAATACTGCCGGACATTTACAGTGAAATGGGTGGAGCGCCATCATGCATAAACCACATGTTGGCTCTGAGTAATAACGGCACATCTTCCAATAAGTTGGGTTTTGTAAAAATTGTATATAAAATTCCCCATTCAGTCTATTGGGTCAATAATAATGCTATCCCGAACAAGATCAAACTGAAATTACAGTCAACCTACAAAATCAGAGCCTACTAGCACTTTGTAACATGGGTGGCAAGATAATGAATACATTTAAAACATATTTTTTTGTACTTCAACCGCCCATTTAATCAAAATTCTACAAAAGGCCCAAAAACTTCCAAAAGGTATCACCTTCAAATAAAAGCTAGTTGTCATTATTGCTCGAAAGAGGAAAAAGTTATGAACTGATATAATCACCGTACATCAATTTTGTAACAGTTGTAAATTTTACAAAACCATTTTGTATAAACACCAAAATGTGTAGATTGAAAGCAAAAGTTCACACCCCAAAAATAATCAAAATCGAATAATACGTAGGTATTTGAGTCAGTTACAAAATTCAAAAAAATTTTACGAACTTTGAGGCCATCTAGCGGGCAAACGAAGCAATTTCGGATATAGGTGAATTAGCTTAAATCTGCCTATTTTGAGTCCATGATTATGTGGTCTTCTGTTGTACACGTCATTCTGGGACACCCTGTATAAGCAGATTGTCTTTTATATGATGACACAGTCCGTTTGCTACTAGTATGTTTGTCACAAAATCACTGATTTAATGCTCTTTTGATTAGCCTATCCAACAAACTCAGTTATACCTACATCTCTGTAATTCTAAAAACCCGTGCAACATATAACAAAATATGTAAAGAATATATACAGAGCCTTCATAAATGTTTACAAGCCAGGTGACCACCGAGGTTAGGTAGGTAACCAACTTTGCACGACTGGTACTGGTAACGAAAAATCCCTAAATCTTGACGTCACCTTGTAATCTTGATCTTATTGTTTTAATAATTTTCAATGTTACCGAAATTTAATTGCCAACATGAAGGAAATAAAATTACTGTTCCAAACAAAATTACTGATCACGTGGCTTGTAGTCATTTATGAAGGCTCTGTAGAATATATTTAACTCACAGATTGATAGTAACATGTTCTAACAGATTCATAAATAGAGCTGTCATAATTGGCCGCGTACCAAAGGCGTGCGGATCATCATCATAAAATAAAGTGAACAATGATTATAAGATTCATGTAATTGTATCATTGTGAAACACGTAAATAAATAGTTTTACGTATCGTTGCCATGGGTTCCACAATCTGGATGGGATCCGTTATAGATCGCATCATCAGGTATGTTCCTACCCTTGTCTCAGCAACTTATCTGCGGCGGTGATAAAATATCTTAATCTGAAGAGAACGCCCGTTCGACATCTACTGATGTAATATTTGCATAATTAAATAATCTACTTCCAAACTGGTCCGACATGGTAATTTCCACTCGGGGTTGTATTTATTCCAGTAGATATGAAATGTTTTATTATTTACTATATCAAATGGTAGGTTACATGCAATCAGTATGAAAATTAAATCAAACATAAATTAAGTCTTTTGGTTTTCGCCATTTTTTTATACGTGTGTGTTTGGTTGAATGATTTCCGGGCCGGTTGCCACGTCGTCGATTTACAACTCTTGACGTTTCGAGAGACATATCGCTATAAGTTAGTCTGAAACTTTGCACTGTTTAATATTTATTACTTTATATTTATTAATATTTATTTTAAACGTTTTTATAACTATACGAGTATGTACTAAATTACATTATTGTTTATATTTTTTTAGCAGTAGTAGTAGTGTAGTTATTTACCTTTCCCTATGACCACATCCACTTGAAATTACAGTGTTGAGTGCCGCTTTGTTGGACAAATTTAATACTGATAAAGCTATGATGCTGGCGTGAGTACAAAATTTATTACTTCTTACTTTTTTATTAATTTCATAAAAAAAATAAAAATCAGACATTTAAACAAAGGAGACAGCTTAAATGGGTAGTTTCAGAACTTATTATTTCGCAAATCGTAAAAGAAATCCACAAATAAGATCCACTTCTTATTTGTGGAAGGGCGAAATGGGCGGTGACTATTAGACGCCTTCATTATAGCCATCTTTTTCTATCGCACGGATTTCTATGACTTACTTTATCGCTCTCACGTAACGGCAGATGGACCATCGGCACTTTCCGACCCTGTACTGTTGTATTTGTTATCGTGCGGATGTTGCATAGTTAATTCCAATCCGTTGGTATTTATGGTGGTGTATTGTAGATAATTTAATTTGTTGCGTTTTGATAAATAATGCATACGCCTATGTCCCGCGGCTCAGTTCTGACAGCCCTATTCATAAGTTAAAACTAGTTAATGTAAAAATGAAACAAGAAATTAACTAGAAAATACATTCCTAAGTTTTTTCAGTCGGAGGAACGCGGTGCAAAAACTTACAAAAACAAACTTAGACCTATGGCAAAATCTACGAATAGCAGTCAAGAACAATTAAAAGCTACTGATTCCAGTCCTAGCGTTCTACCTGGCGCTCCTGAGGCTGAAGATGATGATAACGGAATTTATGACGCTCCTTATAACGATGGTTTTTGGATCTATATTGATGAAAGGGAAGAAGTTGTCCCATTTAAATTATCTATAGGTAATTATGCAAGAATTTATTTTCAAATTCCTAGTCCTTGTGTAACCTGAGGGGTTATTTCTTTAATTATCTACCTTTAATTAGTTAAGTATTTTATTCTCGAAAGGGAGTTTAATATCATTATACTTTAATTCATACGTGGGAACTTAGAAATGTTGTATGTCCAGAAAATGAAAATCCAGGCACTTACCCTTTTTGCTTACGTAGACTGTAATCCTGGCTGGCTGTACAGGGTGACACTGAGGTTGGAGAAACAAAAGGAAACACCCAACTTCCAGGAAGGGTTTTATTAACAATAACAAAACAAACAAACAAACAAAATGAAAACACAACGGCTCTAGCAACATTATTAATGAATTGATTCAAAGCCACAGCGTACCGAGATTCAGGAAATGCGCGCTTCGTACAAAATTTGGAAAAACTATTAAATTTAATTAATTAGCCCGAGACTCGTAAAGTTAAAACTAGGTTGACTGCTCATTGTGAAGTCTAAGGAAGAACTCCGTTCTTGCAGATCTTTCTCCTAAATTCCACAATTCGCTTTGACACGCCCATTTCTTGGGTCCAGAAGTTTTGGTTCTTATCCTATTGACGGGGACCTGAATATCGGGACGCTGGTATAACTAACTATATTAGGTTAATACTTATTTAATTGACTGAATTTACATTTTTATAAGAATTCTGACTTACTAGTAATTAACCCTAGCCTTCCCTTAGACTCCGTGTAGCAAATACGGGGCGGATTAGTCAATCTCATTTAATTAATTATTAATATCTTCCTAATAGCTTGGAAAATCCGCCGAAAAACCAGCTGACTGATCTATCCTTTCTTTTCCAATTATTATCAGTTTACAATTTAATCTAATTCTATTTTTTTTGGAACCTCTACGCTCTTTTCGCGGTTTCGCGCGTTATTAAAATATCGGTTTTTACGCTGGCGTCTCCTGGACGCACCAGATGACTACCATATGGCCCTGACTCTAAGCTAACTTGTTAAAAATATTGCTAAATTTCGGGTGGCCTTCCCCGAAGGACCGTCTTGGCGACGTTACCTACTTGAAACCCATTAACCCCCCGATAGTTTGTGACGACTGAAATATCTTACTTTCCCAGAACTAATAAATAAATGACTACACGTCCCGGCTTTTGTTACATTGCCCCCCCCTAAGAACGGATCAATTTTTTCCAAATAATTTCCAAAATTTTGACAAATAAATTGAGACGTAGAAATTCCTTACAATTAACTATACTAAGCTAGGGACGTCTTCTTCTTTTCTTCCTTCTTCTTCCGTGACCCGGGAACTGCTGTTCTACGCATTCTCTGCCGATTCTGTCCTTCCTCCACCTGGATGATGTCGAGCAGGATGTCTCATTTTGGGTCCACGTCATCCTCCGGGTACGTCTCTGGCTTGCTACACCGTCCCCTAGGCCTGCCTCTGATGGTTACTTGGGCAGCCTTCGACATTCGTTGCGGTTGACTTGGCAGGTCCCATGGAGTAGCTGGTGACTCATCTACAAGGTGCAACTTCCACTTGCACGGGATGGGTCTGGAACTGGCAAGGCGGTGACTAGCCTTTCCCTTTTTGCTGTTTCCTTCAGGTTCCCAGCTGTTGCAATCCTCGGTCGCTAGGGCGTCCGGAACTCCATGAAGACGCCTGCTCTCCGCTGCTCGCTCCACCTCCAGTGTCCTCCATCCGCCAATGTTGTGCTGGCTGCTACCGGGTGGTCTGGCTCTGGTAGGCTGGCGTATCTCAGCAGTGGTATGGCCTCCCCATTGGTACGGTGTAACTCCAGCTTCCCCTTTGGCCTCTAGGTGTTCTGGGTGACTTGGCACGGGATCGCCTCTCCAACTGGACAGGATGCAGCATCTGGTTTCTGGACCTGGAACATTCCTACCCCTGGTTCGGGTCTAAAACACACTTATTTCCTAAGTTTAATTAACAAAAATATCATTATTAATTTTCTGCAGCCGGCTCCGCTGATCTTGCTTCTGGAGCTAGATTTCCTTCTTTGACGCTGGACCTGTAACACACTTACTATCTATCTACAAGTTTACAAAATTACAAGTCCTGCTCTGCTCCTTGTCAGGGCGTGTTCCAGTGGCCAATTTACCCCCTTTTTTCTTGTGTTTAGTTATCATTTTTTTTTCTCTTTTTCAACCGTCATGTTTCCGTTCGGATCGCACGTACCTCGACCACATCCGCCAAACAGGTTAGCGAACTAGGCGACAAACTCTTACCAGCATCACCTTTACAAACCGGCGCCAGTGCCATTGGATCGGAATCCCTGCTGCGGTATATGTGTACTTTTACCATTGCTTATCCTTTTTACACACCGAATTACGAGGCTTAGAAACCCTTCGACTTTTTTCTTTGCTTTGCTCGACTCAGCCGGATTCCTTATGTATTTCTGTGAACCATTCCACTATTTCGTCGTGAATCCATTGCCACGTATTTGCTTCCACTGATGCTGGTAGCTGCGGATTTTTCATCCCCAATCGGCTTCCCCCCTACTTTAGAACTGCTTGAGTTCATGTCGGCGGTCAGGTACGATTTGATCGTCGAACAAGAGGAGTCGGCAACCTCTTGGAACCATGATGACTCGTCGATCTCGCGAATGTTTGTACCTTTGGCGATGGTGAAGATTTACTCGTGACAGCTCCTCTTCCTTTTCTGTTTGCCCGGTTCTCTCGAACCGCATGTACAGCACCACATCCGTCAGTTGAATAAATGGGTTATGTTCCATAATGGCTTGAGGTATTGGAGTGATAATCAAAATCCCGACGACGCCTTCCTTTCCGCATTTGGTGGGGAGCGGAATTCCTGTAGTCTCTGGAAGTGGTCGCCCGGATCGTTTGGTCTATTGTATAAATTAAGAATGGTTCATTATCATTCTGGCAGATTAACGGATCAGGCGAAAAGCTCATCCCGACGTCAGTTCGTCAGACCGGTACCGGCAGCAATGGATGGGAATCCCCGCTTTTACCACCTACGTTCCTGGATTCTATGTCCAGCTTTTGCCAAGTCTCATAGTACACTTCGACTTTCTTTTAAATTTTCCCTAGGCATGCTTGGCGCGGCAGATTCCTAACTCCTCTGTGGGACGCACACATCCCTTTTTAATTAATGTCACGATTCTCTCTATTTCCAAAGCACCCATGCCACGCATCTGAGTTTGCTGACCCCGGCAGTTGGAGACGTCCGCCTCCACTCGGCCTTTCCCCTACTATTGAGCTATCTGTGTCCATAGCTCGGTGGCCCGCACAAGGTGGTCGAACACGGGGAGTCGGCAACCCCGTGCAACCACTGCAGTTTCCCCAAAGTCCAGGGTCGATCTTTCCCCCTTTTTTTTTTCTTTTATACTTCATCTTCAGAGTCCGCCTTCGCGAGCCAGGCAGTTCTACTTCCACCCTTCACAGCTCTACATCTCTAATCGTTGGTCCCTACTGTCAAGGCACAACACTTCCTAAAAATCCTCGCAGCTGTTTACTATAACCAAAGTTACAATTTACTCCCTAATTTTCTATAAAAGAATTTCAAAAAACAAATTTCCCAAAAAAAACATTTACTTTTCGCGCAAAATACCTTCAAATTGATTGATTGATTGATTGTAATAAAAGTGATCTAGTGATGAATTTCCGCGACGATCTACAACTAGGGTAACGGTCGTCAAAAGTTACAAAAAAAAGTCCTATTTAAAAAATATTTTGGTCCCGTGAACAAGAATGGAAACGACGGAAATTATCATTTATAATTAATCCTCTACGTTAGAATTCATGAATTCCCCCTAAGTTATACCCCGTTGACAAGTATGTAGTTATTGCCAAGTGACTAATTAAAATTTTCCTAATGCTCGTGTCAATAAAAAAAAACCACTGTATAAACTCGAAATAACCATGACTCGTGAAGTGTGGAAAGAACCCCTGCGGCGGCGTACCTTAACCCTTTGCTTCTTCCCATGTTGCGCATTTAATATTTTTCAATTTTCGTTACTTACAAATGACCCTCGTAGACATCGACACTATACTTACAATATATTAGCCACTGAACACTTGTTGCCTGTACAGGTTATCCGTCAACAAAAAAAAAATCCCACAATAGTCCCACCTATATTCGTTCACCCTGTATATTAACTTTTCATATTCTTTACATCGATCTGAAACAAAATATAAATGGTTCTATCTCGGACGGGCGCCTGTACCCTCTGGGCTACCTGAAACTTCAATTCGGCAGAAAAATTAACAATGGTTTACAATAGACTTGTATACACAGTATGAACAGCTGATTTGCTCGTACTCTCATTGACAAAGCTTGATGGAACGCAATACGGGATATACAGCCTATTGTTTCAATTTGTAACAGTTCTACGCCTTATCGTTACCTACATGTCGCGTGCAAGTGCGATTTTCGTCTATGAACATACACGATTTCCCCACCCATACGGCCGCGGTGCACTGATTGACATTTCTTTGCCTCAACCGCTTTTTAACCTACATATCACCGATCATTTGCTGTAATTATTTGTTTCTCTGTCTTGGATAATGTCAGTCCGGATTTGTTAGTACGATTTTTCCAGAAATTGTGGCCAGCAATTTCCTTCGGGTTAGCTCCACACTACTTTCATCGAGTTACTCATATTCGTTTCATCCATTTCTATCACCCACATTCATTTGATACCGGTATCCTACTATGCACAACATTCTCTCTTACACTTCATTACTTAAACAATTTTCTGACTCGAATGCATATTTACATGTTAACCTATGGACTTATTCTTGCCCTCGGCCTGCGCACCATCCAAGAAATCTCTTTTTTTTTCAAAGTTATGCTTTCCTTCGACTCAATTAGCGACATAATTTTTTCTTAAATTACTCCTTTTCCTATTAAGAAGACTGACTCCGTATCACTCCAAATATCGGAAATATTCTAGGTTTTTTCTGTCGTTTACAATGAACTAATTACTTTACCGCGTGTTGCTGGACTAAAACGTTATCAATAAAAATTTCGATCGCAATCGGCCCTATACGCTGTTATCAATTATAACTGGAGGT